TTTGGGGGGGGGGGGGAGTTTGCTAATTTCCAGCTATTCCCCACAATAATTTTGTACGAACACAAATATCTGCGTCAAGGCCGGATTTTGACAGAAATAGTGGGGGGGGTGGAAAAAAAATTAGGGGAGGTGCACCGGTTTAGCTCACGACTCCCATAGAACGAGCCAAAGTCAACGAGGTGACGTATGCATGTAGTGTACATATATGTATCAGTGTATTAATGAATTATGACTGCACAACTCATCCAATTTTGCCTTTCATTACAATTACTACAAAGTTTCTTTCAAAACATTGCATTAAAAGGGTACTTGATACAGAGATGAATGGCTATCACTGTTTCAATTTTACAGAAAAACCTTCTTATGAAGTGTAGACCCTAAGGAACCAAAAATGATCTATCATTGAAACTATTCCAAGGAGAGGTGCATGATTTTTCAGGGAAAGTGCAAAAATTCTCAGGGGCGCGGAGGTGCTAAACGATTTCAGGGGAGGTGCGCACTTCCCCCACACCTCCCCTCAAAATCCAGCGTTTTGGATCGTTTTTACCGTCCACAGTAGCACTTAGAAAACGATTTTATTATTTTCGATCTTTATTTATTCATTTCATCGTTTTTTATGCAAAAACCTTACAGGAAGACAAGGGCATTTTTTGAAGAGAAAGATCAGCAAATTGATTGAGGTTTGACATAAAAACTTTGCTGATAATAGAGCTTCTAGTGGCTTTGCAATCTCAGAGATAAATTAAAAATAACCTAAGACATAGTGTAGAGCATTATGTTGTCTTTGCAAGTTATGCTTGGAGATTTATCATCAATATATCCAGTGCAAGACAAGTAATTCATCTGAAATTAGGGCCGAAATAAGCCACTCGCCATGACAAAAACGGATTAGCATGCATGGGTATATCACCCTGTTCTTGCTTACTTCATTTGCTCATCAGCAACTTGCAGACACCTTCCAATGACCAGCATGATGTTCCGTCGAGATTCATTTTGAAATAAAACAGCCAGGCCCTCGTTAGATAAGCCAATCGCACCAATCGTATCCACAGCAACGGCAAGCAAACTGGGGTCGTTCGATGTGATGCAATTAAATATGAATTCATAGAATTGTGGATATTTATCGAGAATGAAGACAGGATTCGTTATGGATAGGAAGCCAAAGAACTTGATGATTGCTGAAGATTTTAATTAGTTACAATAATTAGCAATTAAACAGTAATTAACCGATTTAGAAAAAACGCCAGATGATTTTATTTCTCAAGGAAAAGGTTGGGTATTAATACTCCATAGATGTACCAGAGGAAATTAGGGGGGGGGGGGGTCAGACAATATGATTAGGAGCCATTTTAAATTCGCAGGAGCATAAAATCTTCTGCTTAACTTTAAAAGTCACGCTTTTTTACACCTTGTATTTGGAAACAGGTTACGTTACCATCGACAACTAAACCTTCTTACCTGGTACTAACAATGCTGCTAATGGGTTAGACTCTACAGACATCAATATACTATACAATTTCTGATTGACACCTGCCTCTTCAGGAAATCGATAAGCAGCCTCGTTAATGTTAACGAGATCCGTTAGCAGTTCTATACAATTCATTTGTATCAGCACATCGTCGCTATTAATCTCATCTGCCAAATTCGTAAATATTGGCTTGAACTGTTCGTAAGCATTTTGATTGGCTTCAAACATCTTAACGAACAGCTCATACACTCGGAAACAAACGGTGTGACTCTTCCTCATTAATTCTAAAAATTCAGCATGATGGTGTGAATCTAGTAACAATGCCAAACCATCGCCATGACGACTTACGCATAACACTATATTGCTTGCCACTGTGGCACAACCCATATGTGAATGTCCCAAATTCCTTATAATAAAGTTAACCAAGTCTAAATTTTGGATAATTTTTAAAACACCGCTATTCGTCTGGGCAGAGCGTTCGACTTGGTGCAAACATAACTCTCTGACTTCTACAGACGGGTGGTTCACTCCTTGCATAGCTTCAACTTCGTATTCAGTGATAATCATTTCAGGTTTCATGTAGTTTAGTAGCTTCTTTAGTAAAGAAGTGCAGTAGCCAATTTCGCTCGTATGATTCAAAGCTAGGCGTCTGAACAGCAAACTAGGTGGGATAAGCATTAACAGCTGTTCGCTGTTTAAATTCCTAGAGTCCACGAATATGTTCAGGTCTTGTAAGCTTTTTAAAACATTTTCTCCGCTTGTGGAGCTGCTGAGAATTTGCACATGTTGAGCAATTTTGGCCTCCATCTTGGTTCTTCTCACTGATCTTAGACGTAAACTGGACTGTGTTATTTAGCCTGCGAGCAGATTTTGTATATTGGTATATGACGTCTGCGGATCTGCGGCAGAAAACATTTTTGCAATGGTACTACATATTATGCTGGTGTACATCAAATGTATTAGCACATACGGGAGCAACGTTTAATTTATTAAATATCTTTCTACATTATCTATAACTTATAATTTAATTAATACACTGTATATACAAATTACAAAGCCTATTTAGAATATTACATTGGATTTCCATCTGTGGAAGTTCTTTGACTGAAACTGTCTATAAACGTTTGATAGTTTGAAGTCAGCAAATCTGTCCCAAGAACCACTTGCTTCAATGTGAACGAGGTGTCGAGCATTGCTGGATCTAAAAACGAATCAAAGATATGATTTTTTATTAATAACACGCGCGCGTTATCTATTTGGTTGTTCAAGTTCGAATGTCGGTTAGGGACTAGTCATTATTTATGGTGGGGGGTGGTACCGAAGAGAAAAAGGATTGGGTAAACAAAATTTTGAGTGAGTAAAAGGTTGGGTAAATGAAAAACAAAACAACTCGAGGGTTGTCATTTCCAAAGGAGTTTTACTATAGTGCGAGGCAGCGAGGCATGCGAGGCACGATGCGAGGCAGCGAGGCACGATGCGAGGCATGAAAAAAAGTGCGAGGCATGCGAGGCAGAAGTGCGAGGCATGAAAAAAAGTGCGAGTCAGGCAGATGTGCCAGTGGGAGGCAGACACAATGACGGATTCCAAAATTTGACGATATTTAACATATTGAACATATATACTTAAACATTCAAAGAACTTATATATACTTAACTTGACGCTGGATAAACGGACAACTGTGAACGACATTCTAGTTTTAATAACAGTTCTTTCTATACATTATAGTTTTAAATAACTAGAGTTTTTAAATAACTGGAGTCTCCAGTCAAAACGTCAACAAGTAAACATTAACCTAGACAATAGCTCAACAAGTGACAAGCTAGCTTCACTAAAAATTATGGAATATTAACTATTTTGCGTTGTTCATCTGTCAATTGAAAAACTACGTTCATACAAACTCGATAAGGTTTTATAAACGAATTTCTGGGTAATTTGGAAATGCATTCAAACCAAGGGAAACCGGTCCAAGGGCAGTAGAAAAAAAGGCCCGTCAGTACTCGCGAGATTGCATCCCAGCCTTCCTCAAATCAGTCGCATGCCTCGTATACCTCGCGGGCTTGCCATTGCCTCGCTGCCTCGCAGTTTGTGTGCACCCTTTCCAAAGCATGACTCACTCAAATATTGAAGACTAAAAAGCAATGTCAACAGTCATGATCACATGTCAATACAACATGTGAATCAATCAGAATCACTATCTTGATCATTTTCCGATTTGTCAAGCAAAAGGTGTCTCCAAATAAAGTACATATGCAGACAACATCAAACTTTAGACTGCAGAAAATTGCACAAGCAGTTATCAAACTCATGTCACAGAATTAAGTGGTAAAGGACATGTGTGACAACTGAATTGTATTCTTTTTGTAAAGGTTTTGGCCAGGGGTGGGTGGGTGTGAAGACTGGACTGGATTTCAAGTCCGCGCAATTCCGAGGACTGGATCAAAATGCAAGGACTTGAAATCTTGCCAGTCCGAATTGGAGTATTTGAAATTACATCTCATACGAATATATTACTACTTAAAGGTGAGGTGAATTAATTTTGATCCAGTCCTAGGACTGAATCAATATACTTCACCAGGTATCCAGTATTATCATGTGAGCAAAATAAAGCAATATGGTTGGCTAATTTACTCACGAATTATTAGTGAGTTTGAGATATACCTGTTGAAACCCAGTCATCTTGTGCAATATAAACTACAGCAGGCACACAGTGTTGAGCTACTCCAAGTTCATCAGCATTTAAACTATTACACATCCATACTGGTACAACCAATCTTGAATAATGCTAAAAAAAGATGTATAGAGGCGAGTTTCGCTAATGAGAAATAATAATAATAAACCAAAACAATGAGTTTAATTTAAACCCTGGGTTAGCGCTAATCGGTGCTTTGAACAACCGCCCCCCCGGGAAGTTAAATTAACCAGATTATGTTAGGTGGATAAATAACGGGGGGGGGGGAGCTGGATTGCATTTCCTGCTACATATATACCTTTGGAAAACCAACACAGGTGTCCAGAAGAGGAAGGCAGTCCAATGATAATTCATAAACACATCCTTCGACCGAAAATCCTGGTTCATGAACTATGTTTGGAAATCCTACACCACCTTCAGCTGTACCTACAAATAATGAATAGATAAAGGCAAAACATTTAATGTGTACACATATAAAAATCTCACAACTTGTCAACAAGATGTGTTCGCAACAGGCTTGTAGCAAGCTTGTCAACAAGTTGTAACAATGCTGTTATTTTATCAAGTTGCTAAAAGGTTGTCACTCACAACTTGTCGACAAATTGTTGAATTGCAAGACAACGATAACAAGTTGTTGGAACAACCTGCAACAAGTCTGTTGAGCTCAACAACCTTCTAGCAAGTTGTCAATAAGCCATTGACAACTTGTCAACAAGCTGGGAACAAGCGGTGTGAACACATTATGTTGACAAGTTGTTCGAACAGCATTGCTACAAATCTGCTGCAGGTTTGTTACAACGCGTGCGTCTTTACGTATGTAGCGGAGGAATGCTTTAGAGCTGGAAGAAAATCTTGTAATCGAAATTAGTGAAACATGACTTACCTTTCTTATTGAAGAGTAGTCTGAAACCAAACAACAAACCCCAATGACGAACGCCAGTCTGGCATCTTAGTTGAATTTCAAGTCTGGGAGAAAAGAGAGTAAGGAATGAATGAATGAAAAAATTGAATAACAATGAAAGGAATCACATTTGCCCATACATGTAAAACATAGCTAGAAGTACAGCCATGAAGAGCTGCTTTATATCTTATTTATTACCTCTTCTGATTCATGTTCAGGCCATAAGCGAAGTAAAAGAAGTGGCCAGATTTCGGTATGGTGTTGATTTGAAAATTTAACGGAGGTACAAATGGGACATTCCTCTTCCTAAAATAGTCATAAGAGATTGAACAGTTCCATAAAAAAAAAGTGCTACAATCTCAGAGTATGATAAATCATCAGGGTAACATGAATTAGGCTTACAAGAACATATAGAATCTAATTAGACTGTATCGAGCTGGAGATGACATGGGCACGGCGGTTGTACCGCAACTTTAATTCGATGCCGTTACAAGCCAACCCAGTCTCGTGTAACTGGGATCGTACAAAAACCTATCAGTGAGCTAAAAAACGGCTGCAAAAACACCTTGTGGTAGAGATAATATGTACCTTAATAATTTCGTCACTGGTTTGCTGACAGCTACAACTTCCAGACTGTTTTGGTCATTAGAGAACGATTCCTGACTTCGTTTGACCTACAAGGATAAGACATTCAATTTTTTAATTCTCATACTTTGAAACGTCCATGCGCTGTTTCGCAAAGGGAAACTAATTTGCAATTTATCTAATGACAGAATGATCAACTTTTTCACTGTAAAACTTTCCAGATACGGATCTGGGAAGTTTTACAGTAAAAAAGTTGATCATGGAAGATGAGGTTTTTTACTATAAAGATATATTACAGTTATTTTTAAAATTACCCAAATATTACACATACAAAAAATCATATTTGGAGACAGTGGCACTTTAACTTGCAAGCCCTTGGTTTTTAACACATATTTCATAGTTTAAATTACCATATACTTTTTCTTATATATGAAATTAATTTCGAGTAAAATCCGCAGTTGAAAAAAAAAAGTATTTTTTTAATCCATCTCTATTATCTTCTGTATCCTACACGCGTAAAATCTCATAGCTTGTGACAAGATGTATTCGCACTGCTTGCTCCCAGCTAAGTCTGGAACAAGTTGTTATCATCTTGTAACAAGGTTGATGTGATCAACCTCGCAACAAGTTGTTCCAACAAGTCTGATGTCGTGTGCACTAGGACTGTGCGGTTCCAAAAATTTTATCTCGGTTCCGGTTTCGGTTCTTTTGGAACAAAAAAACCTCTGTTCGGTTCGGTTTCGGTTATTTTCAAAAAAGAAGAACAGTACAAATGTATGAACTCATTTATGTATGTTTCGAGCATTTTTACTAAATAGATGAATTTATGCCTTTGTAAGTTTGTATAAATCTCTAAATATTTTAAAAGAACAATTGGTTATTTATTTATGAAAATGAAATATTTCTTAGTTTTTAAAGAAATTTAAAGCAAGTTCACAACAATAACTATCACAACTAAAATATCAACTATTTGAGCACTTAGTACAGTGCATATTGCGCATAAAGAGGACAATCTTGTTATTTTCCAAACATTTCAACCTACAATCAGGTGGGCGTCTAGCGGGCGTTAAAAGGGAAATTAAAACCAAAACTACCGGTTCTTTTGCGTATAAATTTTCGGTGCTGAAAAAGTACCGGAAGAATCGAATTTTTCGGTTAACCGCACAGCTCTAGTGTGCACGTAACAAGTTGTTAACAAGTTGATGAGAACGAGCTCGTAGTGACTTGTTACGAACAGCCTGTATTAGTCTTGTTGGATCACTCGTAGCAATTCAGTTGCCTTCATCAACCTTGTAACAAAGTGATACCAATTTGTTCCAGACTTGTCACAACAAATGGGAACAAACATGCAATGTGAACACATCCTGATCCTGTACCTTTGTTCCCGATGCATGCTCTTGCAGAAAAACTCCAACTTTGGGATTTTTCACAGTTGTCTCAGAATCGTCCTCCCCATTCAAATCTGCAAAACATTTCTTCCTTGACTTCTCCTCGTCATTTCTATTCATTGCAGATTTCGCGCGGGTTGGAACATCTCTTACGGAAGTATTTACATTCTGCGAGCATCTTCTCCGAGCCGGAGCGGACTTTATTCTAGGTTTTGTAGAATTAATTTTATATTTTGACACGTCCTCTCTGGAAATATCATAACCGCCATCGACTAGAGCTTTCCAAATGTCTTTAACTTGTATGCTGTCTTGGTCTGGGCTACTTTGGTTAAGTGAATTTGCAGTTGAATTACTAGAATTGGATGGAGGTCTAACACCCAGATTCTGTCGTAATTCGTCGATGTTCGAATGCCTTAGATTAGATTCCTGATGGATCCTGTCATTTTCTTCAATTGTTTTGCAATCCCGACAGGGGATAGTTGGTTTAGATGAAAGTGTATTTGCATTACGAGAGTCGGTCAGGCGTTCAGAACATGGTTCTTCATGTTCTGGTTTTGAGAATTTTTCTTCCAGTACCTTTGGATTAGATTCTTCATTCCATGTGAGACTATTCTCACCACCAGTCAGATTTCTCCTGACATAACCATGATGACCTGTTTTATGATTATTATTGCCAATTATATTCGTATCCTGAAAACCTTCAAAAATACCATTACCTTCTTCATTAAGTGTCTTTACACCCCGATATGATCGCTGATTTAGAGTGGCTTTATCTGAGACGAGATCATCACAATCATCACCGATATAATCATGATTAATATTCTCATCATCGATATAATCATAGTAACTAGCATCTCCTTGATGTTTCACAGAAGAGCCATCACGAATATTATGAAGATAGTCAGTTCCATCAATTTTCTGATTATATCGATCATAATCAAGTTGACGACTGGTTGAATCAACATCATGCTCGATTATGTCTTCAATATCTTGATCATTATCATCAATAGTGTCATTATGTGAAAAATCTGACCAATGTCTGTTATCAGTGTTTAAGTCATTATCATGTTGACTTAGATCACTATTTTTACAATATATTAAAATACTTTTCGGATTTTTCATTTCCCCCTGAGAGCCAGTTTCTCGTCGTCGTTCTTCATAAACCAGGCTACTCTCCGACGCCATTGTTTCACTCTGATCAGCAAGCGAGAGTTTACGCAAGTCGACTGTCAGAGTATTCTGTGAAATGTGTTTAGTTGCAGATGAAAATCTTGCTATGTCTGGAGTGATCACTTCTTCTCGAACTTCGAAGCCATCGTCTAGTGTAACAGTCTTCTTTTGCCGATCTAAAACAAGTTTCATATTAAACAGTTGTTGGATGCATGAAGTTTTTGTGATATCGAAATTATGAAGCTCGATTTAATGAGGGAGCTAATTAATGTCCTTATGGTTAGGGTCAGGCCGGGTTAGGTACAAAAATCCATCATAGAACCAAGGATGGTTGTACGCACAGGAAAAATTTAAACTTATTTACCACATGGGAAACTGATCTATAATAATTACCAATAATGGCCAGAGTTCAGTTTTTACATTCAAAAACCCACTGATGGATATAACTGTATAAACATTACTCGCCTAGCGTGTTCCTTGGTTGTGGAGATTATATGGATATATGTTTGTATTGATATTTATTGATATATTTAAATAACAGGACATAGTCAGGCTCCTGTGGTTATAGAGCCAGAGGGATTTTTCCGCAGAAAGAAAGTTTTGTAAAATGTGATTGGCCGACACAAATTTTCCGTCTGAAAAAAAATTTTGAAGTTGAAAAATCTTCAACTTTAAAGGTGATCTACAGTCCGATCTGCGCATGTGCACAAAGGAGCCCACTTTTTATGATACAAACAGTTTAACTATGTTTTGGGTTCTTGAAAAGCCTGATTATTGTTTCTTGATAATTTACTATACTCTAGAAGCTTGAAAATATAAATAGTTGTCGAATAAAGCTCAATATTTTGGACACAAAAATGTAAACAAAGGCTTACATACGGAGCAATGATATTTTTGGAAATTTTTCTTGAGTGCAAATAGGACTTAAATGGGATAATTTAATGATAATATTCAACGTAACACGTTACTGCAACCAAAGTTCATTGAAACCTCTAGTAAAATCGTGCCACTTCTGGCCGTATTACCGTTTTGTATACCCAAACATTTTGTAACGTTTGGTCCCAACGCGAGCTGTCCTGCGCTAAGAAGTGGTTTCAGCTGTCCATTTTTCTTCAAACTGTTTCGACGGCTTATAGGACGAGAATTAGTCGCTTTTTCTTCTAAAATATCCCGAACATATTCTATTGCTAAAGTCGTCTTGAATTTGCAGTGGCTGTCAGGTTGAACAGTCTAGAAAGAGGAGCCAATAAGAGGCAATAATTCCTTAGCAAATGTATCAAACAATTTAAACTACTTAAATAACTAATGAATAAAACTGGATTAATTACCCAGCCCCACCAGGGCTCAAAATAACGCTTACACTAACAGTGAAACAAACTATTAGAAAATTGTTTCGATACATCATAGTTTCATGTTGTAATTCAAGACGTCAGCAATCACATTGCCATTGGAAGGCATGAGGTAAAAAAGTGACCGGTCAAGAGGCATTTTTGGCCGTTCATTGTGAATGTCCAGTGACCGGCCGTTATTTTGAGCCCTGCTTTATACCAGACAATTTTACTCGCCACTTGAGGGGAGATTGCTGTCACTCAATGGGTTAGTCCATAATCAGACTATCTACTCTGAATGCACTGCCTGTGCCACTATGCCAGTTTAGGTAGTGCCAATAGTAACAGGGACACAACTACCTGAAAAATATAAGGAGAATTTCGACGTGCAGTATAAACTTCAGACAAAGGGCCTTCGCTCGAAACGTCGTAATTCTCCTTATATTTTTCAGGTAGTTCATAGCAGTTGCATCCCTAACAACGAAAGCTTGAATCTACTCATGCATGCATCCTGTAATTCCCGTTAGCCCCTAAGCCTTTAAGACTGGGGATGCGCCATACTTTATTATTTTACTGTGTCCAAGAGCAGATTTTATTATATATTCAAAGTCTATTCTCGTTCGTGACTGGTCAAAACGCGTCGGATGATTCTCGGTATCTTGAAGCCGTCGCGTTATTTCAGCTGCTGACGCCATCAGCGTGCAATATTAATACTTTTTTGGACCGAAGTTCAGTCCAAAAAAATAGTAATGCACGCTGTGATTACCAAGCCCCCGGCGTGGTCCATTGTTTGCTAAAAAGCGCACGAAAAATTCCACATTTTTAAAAGCATAAACAAAATGAATATATATATATATAGCTTTTGAATATATAATAAAACAAATATTGAATTTGTTTTTTTTCTCAGCCTTCTCTGTTTCAGTGGATAACACAAGCCTTCAGGTCTTGGTAATTCTCAATATCATACTCAACCTCCTTCAATAATTGTTTAATATTTCACTCTGTAATCTGGCATTATACAGACTCTGTATAATGCCAGACAATTTTACTCAAGGGAGAGTGCTGTCACTCAATGACTAGTAATGAACTATTTGTCAGATCTCATTTGCATATGATAAAGGAACATGATTTAAATATGTTTGAAGCAAAACCAGGATTATTCTGTTTATTCATAATAAGTTTTTAGACGTTCTCTGGTTTTTAAATATTTATTATTATGAGCTTTCGACTGCCAGTAATCCACCTGTTGAAGACTGCAGACTGGTAGTCAAAAGCTCGTAATAATAAATATTTAAAAACCAGAGAACGTCTAAAAACTTATTAAAGGAACATGAACTAATTATTTAATTGATCTGGTTTTTTGTGCATTTATACCAATGTCACTATATATACCAAGAAAGAATTCTTAACACCAAACTACCAAAATGCAGTTGTTCATGTACTAACCCTATTTTGTACAGTTCTCAAACTCTTCTTTATTGGTACATTATGTTGCACATCTTTGTTGAAATGTTTTGATCTGGTGTTTGGAGCAGAACAATTACGTGCATAACTTGAATTTGGTCGAAGTTTTGGTGCAAATACTTGATCTTTTCTTGTGTCAACACATAGATATCTTCCTGGCTGCTGCTAAAATGTACAGATGTTATAATTTTAATTTTATGTTCTATTTTTCATTCTAAAGGTTTAATTTGATAACCTTTGAAAAGATCTGATAATCATGTGATGATCAATGGTATGACGGGCAGCTACTTCGGGGGAGGGGGGTGCATTCATTTGCAAGGTGGGGCAGGGGTACTTTGGAGGGGAGGGTACTAATCATAGAAATAATAGATATCTATTATTTCTATGGTGCTAACATTTAGGGGTGTTATTTTGTCGGCCACTAATTTCAGGGAAGCTACCTATGAGGGGGGGGCACTAAAGCAGACCTGCCAACCTCAGAGTGGCAGAAATTGTGAGTTGCATATTTTTACAAAGTCGTGAGATTTTGTGAAAAACCGTGAGATTCCAGAAACCTCCAAGGTTGTCTTATTATTATAGATTAAATGTATCAAAAAGTCAGTTCTCTATTTAGCTAGTCGAGGCACTCAGGCCCCCACTGGCTAGGAACATAGCGATAGCATTGGCTGCATTGCAACAGTTATGCCAATATCACAGGCAAAACGAAGAAATCGGCCTTCTGCAATTTCTCTATTCCATGATCGGACCTTGTTTTTAACACAATAGTCAGTATATTAATGGTCAGTACTGTCAGTGTGTTACTATATATTTATTTGTAATTTGTAAACAAACTTGTATCAGGCCAGGAGGGGGTAAACTCAACCGCTCAACCTGGTACCAGCGTGCTGCAAACGAATGTGGCACCACACTTCGATATACTATAAGAAAGTCAAACCTGACTACCTGAGAACTACTTCGCTTTCTTGAACTGCTTGTCAAGGATTTCTTTACGGGCTTCGGACTAATTTCGTGTCGTCCTTGACGAGTAGCATTTCGGCTACCTAAATCCTGGTCCATTTACGTAAAGAGATGCAACATTTACATGTCCAGCAGCCTTCATGACTTTAAAAGGTGAATTTCTTGTTCCCGTAGCGGTTCAAAAAATAAAGTTTTAGATTAAAAGTTTGCAAATTTTTTGAAATTTTTGGCACCAAAACAATATAGCATTTTGGTTGCTAAGGAGAGTTTCGACAGAATTCCTTTCGTTCTATCGGAAAATTCCTCAGATTTCCCGGCCACTGAAACTCCCCCCCGGAAAGGATTGCCTGGTAGTTTATATCTATTTTTATCAAGTAATGAGAAATTCCAAAAAAATATCAACCATGAGGGTTCGGCAGTGCTGTTTGCAGTATCAGTAAATCTATAGACAGAACGTCTGGAGAGTGCATCTTGACTTGGCGACATGTGCATGGGCGTACGGGAAGAAAAAAATTAGGAGGGCGGAAAGAAATTTGCCCGACTTTTTCAGATTGTGCCCACTTTTTCAGATTGTGCCCGGAGAAACTTTCCAAAATTGTTGACGACGGGGGGGGGAGAGTGATTACGAAAAATTCCTATTAGATAGCATATTTCCCACAAAATTGACAGAATTCGGTCCCATTTATTTTTATAATAAGTCAATATTGCCTGACTGTGAAGCGAATATTGCCTGACTGGCTTTGTTTGCCCAAAAAACTGGGGGCTGCCTCCCCCTCCGACCCCCCCCCCCTCCTTCCGCCCGGTACGCCCATGGACATGTGACCACTTTATATCATAGATAATGGAGTATCGCCCTTATCAGACTTATCGCTACTACCTTTGCATGACTTGCTATCAATTCAAAGTTTTTCAAACTATGGTAACTGACCATAGCTACTGACCCAAATGATTAGTTTGCCAAAACAACTATCTGGGTCAAGACCATGGTTCACTGTATTTAAAGTTAGGCATTTTGTACTTAAAAATTGGGCAATTGTACTTAAAAAACAATAAAAGGTAAAGAGCAGTCGCATTAAAGACATTAAATTGGTGAAAAAGGGAATTCCTGGATTTCCGGAAGTTTATCAGATTTCCTGAAATTTTCTAAAGGAAAGCCGTTTCCAAGAGATTGGCGCAATGCGAGACGGGATATAAACAAGCTCATTCAAAAAACAAAATGGCGGTGGATGAGTCACGCCTGAAGTGTGAGAAAAACGACCTAAAAACATCCATACTTTATTCCTATCTAGCAGAAACGAACACGAAATGGAAGCCTGTTGGTCTAACCTTTGTAGAGTACCCCGAAGGTTTGGAAAAAGTTTGTTTTTCTGTGTGAAAAATGCTGTTATTTTCGCGGTTTTTCCCGGCTAGGGTGGCTAGGGGCGAGTAAAATGCTGAAATAAGGAGGCGATGTTGTTGTTAAGGTAGTTCGTGTTGTGTATGTTTGTTGAGGTAGATTTGGTGGGAGTTTCGGGCGATGAAAAGATAAGGATTTGGTTGAGATAATTAATATAGCCTGAGGGTGTTGTACAATATACATGTACGTTCTATTTTTGTAACAATTACTCAATTAGTGACCAATTATAAATAATTAAGTGTCCATGGAGAAATTCATCCCAGGTTGCACACTTGTTCTGCAAAGGGGGGAGGGTGCTAGTTACACTCCTCCCATACAGGAAATTTCTGCCATCTGGAGGGGAAGGGGAGAAAAATTTGTTTCTGATAATAGTAAGTATATTAGTAGGGTTGCACCGGAACCAATTTTTTAAGTTCCGGCCGGAACTGGAAAAAAGTTCTGGCCGGAACTGATTTATTAATCCATATATAGTCATATGTTACTTTGTCCGTTGCCAGACAGTCAGACACTTCAAATCATCAAGAAGAGAGCTCACAAATTTTAGAATAAAAAGATTGACAAATGTTAAACGTCATAATGAAGTGTTAATAGTGTAAATTTCCATTGCATAGTCCAAATTTCTTCCTACTTGGAACTTTTGTTCAACACAAAAACGTTTGATATCCTATCTCCCTGAAAACGACAGAGTTCTGGTTTCGGCCATGCTTTTTATATTAGTTCTGGCCGGAACCGGAACTCGGGGTTCCAGTCGGAACTAACCGGCCGGAACCAAGTTCCGGTGCACCCCTATATGTTTTATTGTAAATAATATTTGGGACGTAAAGATTAAATATAGGCAAGTCTATTTCCTAAAAGAATCAAAAACTAAAAATAATGTTTGTAAAATTTCCAAACAGCATGACAATTGACAAGGCACTGCAAAGTCTATTCAGGGGAGATAGTAGAGTTTCAAAACTTTACAATTGGTCCAATAAACCAGTGAATGCAAGCGAGGAGCAATTAGTTTCAGAGTATTGCACTGTCTTTTTCTATTTGAGTGTACTCCTATGTTTATTTTGTATCATCAACACTCTGCATGTTACGTTGGAGTGGACTATTTAATTTTTTTTATTATGCCGAATATTGGGGGGGGGGGTTGAAAATTTTTTTGGAGGGGTGGACATTTTGTTTGGGGGGGTTATATCGGCAATATTGGGTGCCCCCCCACAAAATCCGTCTATGTTCAATACATTACCTCGGGCTGACCAATTCATTTGATAGAAAATTGATCAACTTCCTGTTACTTTTAAATGAGCCAATTAGATTTTGTTTCAGAACCGATTGACCAATAGGAAATGCACAGGAAGTAAAAAAAAATTGAATTCATATAAATTGGTCAGCCCGAGGTAATGTATTGAATCAATATTTGAGGAACACTTCAATTGGAACGGCAGTAATAATATCCTGGTCATTTCTCATTCCATGACCTTTCCAAAAACTGAGTTATTAATTGGTAGCTTTGAATAATCAGTAATAGACTGACCAGCCTGTGTTGAACATGTTCCGTGTGTATTTTTCCAATCTCTTACATTTCCTTTGCCTTATTATTTTTTATTCAATCAATTTTATTTTCAGGAGATCTAGCTGGCAAAATCTTGGCCTGGTTAAGTTTATCCCCAATCTTTATTCTCATTGGTTTTGTTGCTGTGATCATCTTTCGACGTGAGCTACATACGGTACAAAGTTCTATAAAATTATTCCTAGGGTTGAGCCTGGAGACTCATCAGATAATTACACAAAGTTGTGTCGGTCATGTGTGCCACCCGCCCATCAACATACTGTATTTGAATTGTAATTGGTGTTCACAGTTTGCTAATTACCATTATGTTATTGCTCAAATTACTGTATCTCATTTCATGTCTCTATTATTTTTTGCTTTTTCATGAAAAATAGCACCCCTCTGGCCAGGGCTATGGGGGTGCCCACACCCCAGTAAATCCATCCCTGTATATCCTTCAAAATTCTGCTTGTATATCCACAGCAGCTGATTTTTATTACAATTTACAATTGAAGATACTGTATTTAATACAATTTACAAGAAATGTAGAAAAATTCAATTATCTCGTTTTCAGGTAGCGTTTTTTCTTGGCTGTGTCTTGAATGAAGGTCTAAGTATAGCAATCAAACATGCAATTAAAGAACCACGACCATGCAGAAGTCCTACGTCACATTATATAGAATATGGTATGCCATCGAGTCACGCTGCATTTGTTGCATTCTTCACGACATATACACTTTTTTTTGTTTATGTAAGGTAAGGATTGTGTACACTCATATAGACCCATTGCACATGACGTCACAGCGCCGGTGATGATGCATCTGGAGGACAAATTAGCAATCTATGCATAACATAACTTTTGTAAACAAAGCAAATTTTGTAAAACTTTATAATAATTTTGTATTAGAATGGTTAATTTTTGTGCTGTATGTGGTTGTTGTACTCGAACAGATATTGTTAGGGAGCATCTGGAGGACACTACCTACACCAGCACATATCTTTTGCTTCTCTCTATTTCACCTTTTCTTTTCGCTTTGGGCTTTTGTTCCTACTGAAAAACATGTTCAAATGTGTCCAAACAAATGTCATTTAATTTTTTGTTTACAGACTTCCTTCACCATCAAGTGAGTTTATTGATAATCTATGGAGACATTTAACGTCACTAGGCCTGCTCTGTCTAACTGCAGCGGTTTCATTTGGCAGGTAAGTCTTTATGAAGAGAGATTTTGGCAACACAGTGCAATTTTTCAATTTTCAAAAGTTAACAAAACCATATATGAAAAGAAGTTTTAAAAACTATATGTTAGACCAAATGAATCAACATGTTATAAGCGCTGCTAAATATCTGAGAAATTTAAATCCGTATCAAAGCTATCTGTCGGTGATAGAAAATACTGATGAATCTATCATCTGTGCAGGATTGTTGTAGGTAGTGGTCAGATTATTCCGATTATTGTTAAGTATATATAACAGCAGCTTCAAAA